AACAAGCCTCTGTTAGTTCTTTCTAACTAAAGCAACTAACAAGGTTTTCCCCTTCAGCTTCCTAACTGAAGATATCTCTACTATTCACGAACACTGAAACCTGACTCTTTACTTCTCAGAGTCTCAATCCTGACCTGCTCTTCCCTGAGCCTAAAACCCTGACTGACTCTAACTGTCACTTTTCAAAAACCTTAACTCTCTAAGCTCCTCCCACCTCCTCTTCTGCCTCGTTTCCATGGTAACACATTCCTAACAGCTAGGCCGCTCCAGCCTAAGGGCAACCAATGCAAACATAAATACAGTTATAAGCATATTATTATAAACACTTCTGTACACACGGATTATCTGGATCCGGCACAGTCTGCCTTTAGGCCGGGACATGGTACCGAGACAGCCTTGGTCGCCTTAGTGGATGATCTGCGTCGGGAGCTCGACAGGGGGAGTGTGTCCCTGTTGGTCCTGCTGGATCTCTCAGCGGCCTTCGATACCGTCGACCACGGTATCCTTCTGGGACGCGTCGCGGGGATGGGTCTTGGAGGTACTGTTTTGCAGTGGCTCCGGTCCTTCCTAGAGGGTCGTACCCAGAAGGTGTTGATGGGGGACAACTGCTCGTCCTCACAACCATTCAATACTGTCCCCCATGTTGTTTAACATCTACATGAAGCCGTTGAGAGAGATCATCCGGAGTTTCGGGGTGCGGTGTTATCTGTACACAGATGATGTCCAACTCTGTCACTCCTTTCCACCCACTACTAAGGAGGCTGTTCAGGTCCTGAACCGGTGCTTGGCCGCTGTGTCGGACTGGATGAGGGTGAACAAATTGAAATTGAATCCAGACAAGACAGAGGCACCCCTGGTCAGTCGTAAGGCCGAACGGGGTATAGGGTTACAGCCTGTGTTGGACGGGGTTACACTCCCCCTGAAGACGCAGGTTCGCAGCTTGGGTGAGATCCTGGATTCATCGCTGAGCCTGGAGCCCCAGGTCTCGGCGGTGGCCAGGGGAGCATTTGCACAGCTCTAGCTCGTGCGCCAGCTGCGCCCGTACCTCGGGAAGTCTGACTTGGCCACGGTAGTCCACGCTCTGGTCACATCCCGCATAGATTACTGCAATGCGCTTTACTGCCCTTGAAGACTGCCCGGAAGCTTCAGATGGTCCAGCGCTCAGCAGCCAGGTTGCTAACAGGAGCGGCACTCGGGGAGCATACCACTCCTCTGTTGAGCCAGCTCCACTGGCTGCCAATCTGCTACCGGGCACAATTCAAGGTGCTGGCGTTAGCCTACAAAGCCCTAAACGGTTCCGGCCCCACTTACCTCTCCGAACGCATCTCCACCTATGAACCGACGCGGACACTAAGATCTTCCGGGGAGGCCCTGCTCTCGGTCCCGCCTGCGTCACAGGCACGGCTGGCGGGGACGAGAGACAGGGCCTTCTCGGTGGTGGCCCCACGGCTATGGAATGCCCTACCCATTGACATCAGACAGGCCCCTTCGCTGCTGGCGTTTCGGAAGAAGGTTAAAACCTGACTCTTTGAGCAAGCATTTGGCTAACCAGCGCAATTGAACATAGGATGACGGTAAATTGAACATCGGAATGGCACAAGGATTATGAGAATGGATTTTGCTTTGTGATCGAGGCATCATGAATTGATAATAATTGTGTATTTTGTTATTGTGTATGATGTGTTTTTAACTGTTATTGTTGTGTTAATTTACATTGTGTAAACCGCATTGAGTCGCCTAATTAGGCTGAGAGACGCGGTATAGAAATAAAGCAAATAAATAAATAAATAAATAAATAAATAAAATAAACATTCTTCAACCGTAGTTTGATAGCCAGCAGAAGGGACTTCCTTCTCCCCATGCAGCCAAATACAGTAGTTTATGGGATGAGTTTTGATCATGGCAATGGTGTCAAAATGGAGACTAAATCATAAACACAAAATAGTAACACTTACGTAATCTATATAAAAAAAAAAGTTGTATTTTTCTCAGCTTTTCAAATTTTGCAAGGTACTTTTTGATGTTTGTAAAAACCATATAATAATGTGCTTATGAAGGCGAGAGTGCACAAACATGGAAGCACTCATGAAAATAACATGAAACGCACGAAGGAAAATAGCTTTGTTTAGAAGCGTACATTTGCAGGCTGTGCGAAAATGAATACGTTCAGAGAAATGCCGCAGGGGGAAGAAATACATGCTGATATTAAGGTGCGCACTTCAAAAGAGCATTCACAACCTGGTACAGAAAAAGAATAAAAGATGTTTGAGGAAAATAAGATAACAATTGACAATTGTTCCATCCAGATAGGATAGTATTTTTTGCATGCCTATCCAAACAGGAACTGAAACAAGTCTTCATCCATCAGACTTGACTGCCTGGCTCAGATTTTGTTGTTGGCGACGTCCGTATGTACGGCTGTCAGCTGTAATTTCACAGAGTCCTGCTCCCACTTGAACTCTTTCATTGCTTCGCTTCTCACCTTGATAAACTGCCCTGAGCTTCAGAGTGACACAAGTTGGCCTGACAGACCAAAGCACCAGGGAGAAATATGGCCACCGAAGCGGAGTTGAAACAACCGATCTATACATGCCAACTCCACTTGCTTTGTACAAGATTATCAGATTTCCAAGTGGAAAAAGAGAAAGAAGATAGAATCATAGAATCAAAGAGTTGGAAGAGACCTCATGGGCCATCCAGTCCATGCCAAGAAGCAGGACTACTGCATTCAAATCACCCCTGACAGATGGCCATCCAGCCTCTGTTTAAAAGCTGGTCCCAAGCCTTTTAATCTTATTTCAGAGGTTGGCCGCTGAAATTTCTGAGGTATTATTTCTGGATGTACAATACATACTTCGGACCCTGTGTCTCGAAGTCCTCTCATGTCTTTGTTATCAATGGAAATGGATTCCAAGTATTCCTCAGATGGGGTGTTTGACAGGATGAACAAACACTGTTTCTCTTGAGGCTCTGTTTCTGAACTCTCCTTTGACACAGTATCTGGTTCTGCCTTTTTTGTTTCTTTTACTTTATTCACAAAGAGGGTTGTTTTCTCTTTTCTTAAAAGGGGACATTGATACTTTATATGGTCCCACTTTCCACACTGAAAACACCTTCTTTTTCCCTCAGGAGCAGTTTGACTTGTTACGCCCTGCCTCCTCCAGGCGGTGTTTTCTATGTCAGAACCTTTTTCTTGCTGTGGGCGCGTTTGTTGTTGGTAAAATGGCTGCCTGTTTGTTCTTTTATCACTTGGCAGATCTTCCCTTTTGAATCCTTCTTTTAGGGTTATTATTTGATCTACCATAACCGCTGCCTCTACTATAGTGGATGGTTTGCGATCCTGAATTACCCAGCGAATATCATAAGGCACTAATTGAAAAAATTGTTCCAACTTTAAAAGTTCTCTCAGCTGTTGGTAATTTTCCACCTCAGACGTCCTTAGCCAACTATCGAACAGTTGAGACAATTTAGAGGCCACCTGAGCAAAACTTTGGTTTTTATCTCTTTTTAGGGTCCTGAACTTAAATCTGTAGAATTCAGGAGTTAATCGAAACTCTTGTAGAATTTGTTTCTTAAATAAATCATAATCTCCATAAGACCCCTCAGGCAAATCTCCATAAATCTGTAAAAGTCTTCCACTTATCTGTGGCCTTAGATATATCATCCATTTTTCCTTAGCAACCCCAAAATCTTTACAACATCTCTCGAATGAGATCAAAAATTTCTCTACATCATCATCCTTGGTAAATTTAGGGAATCTCTTTATCATATCTGGGGCATCCACTCCAGATCTCCCTTCCTGGATGTCACTGGATGTTTGAGACAAAGCCAATCTTTGCTTCTGCAGCTCAAATTCCATTCTCTTCAATTCTAACTCCTGTTCTCTCTCTTTTTGCCTTTCTTCAAATTCTCTTTGTTTTGCCTCTTTCTCCATCTCAAGTTCTCTCTCTCTCTGTTTTGCCTCTTTCTCCAGTTCTCTCTCCCTTTGCCTTTCCTCCATCTCCAATCGTTTCATCTCTAGTTTGTACTTATAAGCCATTTCTGACAAAGGCATTGGCTCCGTTTCTGCCTCAGAGCCCGAACTTTCTTCTTGGTCTCCCTCTGTTTCCTCAACAAGCTTTTTCTGTCGCCTGGTAGCCATATTCCAATAACTTTTACCTCACAACTTATTCTTAAAATAATCTTAAGGCACTTGATCAGTTGTTAAACGAATCCCGTCGTCTGCCACCAAATTGTAAAGAGACGGCTACACAAGCTGCCACCAAAAATGTAAAGGTCCACTAAAAAAATAGATCGGGGGGGGTAGACCCTGAGGGGATGGTTTAGGAGATCTGATCCAACCACTCTTTGTAACATTCTCTTGTTATTCATACCCTACTTATATTCCCACCCTTCTTTTTTTATTTTTTTGTGATAATTTACTTTTAGGTGATCTTTTGTTTGGCCTGAGTTTGTGCATCAAGTGGTCACTTGATACCTCAGGAGTGCATATTCATTTCTTTCTTTATTTCTTTCTGTTGACTTTTTGATTTAAAAATATTTTATTTTAATGTGCATTCTCCCTCCTGAAGCATGCCTTCTCATACAGGTGCTCCTCTTTGTCTTATGCAGCTCCATGTGTCTCCTTTTTATGTCCTCTCTGCTAAATGGTCATTTCTCTCACTCATGTTTCTCTTTTTTTCATACATGCTTCTCAAACCAGTGTTCCCTGCAGTGAATAGTCTCCCTGTTTGATCTATCCTTGATCAAACAACAGATCTCTAGTCTTCTCCCGACTAGCGATCTTAACAGCCTCTGTTAGTTCTTTCTAACTAAAGCAACTAACAAGGTTTTCCCCTTCAGCTTCCTAACTGAAGAAATCTCTACTATTCACGAACACTGAAACCTGACTCTTCACTTCTCAGAGTCTCAATCCTGACCTGCTCTTCCCTGAGCCTAAAACCCTGACTGACTCTGTCACTTTTCAAAAACCTTAACTCTCTAAGCTCCTCCCACCTCCTCTTCTGCCTCGTTTCCATGGTAACACATTCCTAACAGCTAGGCCGCTCCAGCCTAAGGGCAACCAATGCAAACATAAATACAGTTATAAGCATATTATTATAAACACTTCTGTACACACTTATCCAACCTTCACTCATCCAACATTCTGTATTATCCAACACAATCTGCCTCCCGCCCAGATCCACAGCTGTTTCAATACACTGCGATGTTTTGGTGCTAAATTCGTAAATACAGTAATTACTACATAGCGTTGCTGTGTATTGAACTGTTTTTTCTGTTGATTGGTTGTAAAACATGATGTTTTTGGTGCTTAATTTGTAAAGTCCTAACGTAATTTGATGTTTAACTGGTTTTTCCTTAATCCCTCCTTATTATGCAACATTTTCGCTTATCCAACCTTCTGCCAACCCATTTATGTTGGATAAACAAGACTCTACTGTACATAAAAACATGGAAGACAGTTTATTAAACTGCATGAACTTTGTTTTTGCGGGACATCCTGCAGCACATTTTGCTATAGTTTTTCAATGAATATCTCATAGAGTCTCAACCAATTTAACATAGTTTGTGGCAGTCACACAAGCAAAGCTTCTGGAGTATAACAACTACCTTCAAAGTAAGTACCGCATAATTAAACTTTTAGCATGTTTGAATTGGCTTTTTGTCAATTGTAGAGCCACTGAAACTAGCAGAGTATACATGTATGGAAGCCAAAGATGTAAAATCTATTTTATTAATATTACCAGTGGCATGACTCCCCTGTAAGAATCAACAAGAGTCTAGCAGAAATACTTCAGCAAAAATGGTTGTTTCATTTTTTTCTCTCTCTTTAGGAATTTGATTTGTACCTGTGAGCAGCTGGCAATAGTGCTTGTTGGCAAACCTATGGAGGGAGCCCAGGCCACATCTCTGACCCAATCACTGTGAGCTTCTAGTTTCTGCTCTTCTTTCCACTGACCATCTTCTTCTCTGGAAGGATTGTGAAAAAGAGATGCGTTGAAAAAGTGTTCCTGACACTGACTCTGTTGCAAGAAAGGGAACTGTTTTCTTTTAAAAGAAAAGGAGGAGAGCTGGGACTGCAATCCAACCATTACAAAGAACAGCCTGGTTTTTATGGCAAAGATTCTTAACTTCATTTGCAATTACACATAGCAGGACTACTTAGAATGAATTCAATTTCCATTTTGAACAGTAGTTAGCCACAGCTTATTTAAAGCTTCTTGGGGATATTGTAGTTGTTTTTGTAGAAATCTAAAGAACAAGGCTTTGAAATGTCATGGAGTGGAGAATAGAAAGCAGAACCTACTGCAAATGCAAAACTTCCTTGTCAGAGGCTTGCACAATAATCACCACCTTTTAAGTGGTTGAATTCCTTCAAGGATGTGAGAGCAAGCCTGAGAAGAGGGTAAGCATAAGGTAGACTTCCTTTCTTTTATGGGAAGCAAAAAGAAAAAAAATCTCAGAATGTAAGGCAGTGCAGTGCCATAGACAGAGCGTAGGATGGGACCTGAGAGGAAGAGATCGCAAAACTCAGAACGACTTCTTGAGGTGAAGAGGCATGGCAACCACTCCGAGCTCACTGAAGCAAAAGTGGGAGATAAAGATAACTAATAAAGACAACAGTAATTACTTACTTCCAAATCTTGATGAGGTTATCACAGCCACCCGAAGCAAAACGCTTAATATAATTTGGTTTTTGGCTTGATGGCTGGTCTATGAGGCTTCCTGGCACAACAGCAGGGGCCCAGCTAACAGCATTGCAGCCAATCTAGGAAAGATGGCACATGTATGCAGCTGCTTATTGTTTACAGACAAAGGAACACCTACATTTCATTCTTGAACATCTACTAGCCAAATGCAGTAAAAGTTTAAGAAGTCACATACTAAGCATTTCCTCTCTTACAGAATCATTGAGTTAGAAGAGACCTCGTGGGCCACCCAGTCCAACCCCCTGCCAAGAGGCAGGAAAATCGCATTCAAAGCACCCCTGACAGATGGCCATCCAGCTTCTGTTTAAAAGCCTCTAAAAAAGGAGCCTCCACCACACTCCAGGGCAGAGAGTTCCACTGCTGAACAGCTCTCACAGTTAGGAAGTTCTTCCTCATGTTCAGGTGGAATCTCCTTCCCTGTAGTTTGAAGCCATTGTTCCGCATCCTACTCTCCAGGGCAGCAGAAAACAAGCCTCCTCCCTCCTCTCTATGACATTCCCTCATATATTATTACATGGCCATCATGTCCCCTCTCACAAGAAGTTCCAAATAGCAGAATGCCAAATACAACAGTATAATCAATTCCTTTGTTTCTAGCAAATGCCATGCCTTCTATTATCCAAAACAAAGCCATCTATACACATACAAACATACATATATGTGGAGAAAATCACATTTAGAAGTGGAAATTCCTTACAGCAGTGCAATGACGATTGATTTTGTTCAGTGTCTATGGACTGTTGGGACCGAGGAGAAGAGAAGCGAATATCCTGAACAGAAGCAGTCCACTGTCATTATATTAACCTATTTTGTTAACACATTATATATCTATTTTGTGTTGAACAGAATGCTATTACTCAAGGCTGGAAAATTCTTAAACCCTCAGCTATTTGTCTTGATCTTTAAAACTTTGAGGTAGGTAGCTTGGATTATTTTGTGTCACTCACAGTTAGCTTAAAAGTAAGAAGAGAGAAAGTGTACTGATGGTTCTCTGGCTGTAACTGCAAACCTGGGGCTAACCAGGGCAATGTCGATATGAATAATGCATATATATGCTGATCTGTGCTTTTTTAGAAGGAAGCAAATAAGTACACTGTTCAAATGTTATTTTTATGGAAGTATGAAATGAAACTACCTTTCTCTCACCTTCAATTCCAAATCAAAATAAAGAAAACTAGGAGGTCATTTGTGTGGGAGACACAAATCATAGACTTGTTCCAAAACTAAGACTTGGAACAAAGGGCCTCTCATTTGTTAGTTCTCTGCGTGCAAACTCTTCTTCCTAAACATTTTGCACCTGACGCCAATTGATGGGTCTTGAGGTTCTTGTTTAATGGGAAGGGTAATCATGGAACCAGATCCCACGTTGCTTTACAGTTGCAAACCTTTTAATCTCCAACGAACCCAGCATCATGTTTCCACAATGCCCAGACAAACACCCATCCACAGCTTCCAACAAGCAAAGAATCTCCCAGTTATACATCCAGCAATGGAAACTGCCATTGTCACTGGTATTGCAAAATGAAAATGTACTCACTGTGTGTGCATTGCTGATTTTTTTAATCTCCCACTGTCCGTCACCAGTGTAGCTCAGCAGAGAGATGGCTCCATCCGAACTACCACAAGCAAGGATCAGCCCAAAGTCTTGTGGGGCCCAGCACACAGAGTTCACTGAGAAAATGCAAAGAATGTGGTCAGATTATTGTGCAGACACAGCAAAAATCAAGGGAAAATAATCTGCTCTCTGCCCTTAAGAGATATAAGAGATGCAACAGACAGCACCAGATAAAACTGTTCATGTGGGAAGTCATTTGCACTATGTCAATGGGTTTTAATTTCCCAACTGCAAAGCATTAGGAATTTTACATGGCACAAGTGCAGATTGCTTTAGCACACATGATGGTACAGCAACTGTTGACTGCAGTGCTGTTCTAACATTTTAACATTAGCAGTGAATTGTGCAATAATGCTTATCATATCCACAAATTCTGGTGGTTGGCAGCATAATTAGTAACTAAGAAAATACCAGGAGTTATGAACTAGAAGTGTTAGTACAGTTTTAGTAAAGAGATGCAGAAACAAAGATTTATTATGTGCAAGAATAGTTTGAGGCCACATTATTGGATTTTGATTATTTTTTTTTTGTTCCAGTGTGCCTTCCCAGAATAATGAATCCTCAGCACTTATCCTCTAAAGCACTTTATATCGATTTAGGTCTGCTTGTATGTCTCCACTACGCCCACTTCCTTATCTCGTCCATGACCAACATCATTTTAAATTTTTAATTACATTTGGCCCAGCCATAGATTTTAAAGTGTTCTGTACTATTGTCAATGCTTATGTTATTGTCTATGTGATTTATTTTTATTGCATGTATTGTTATTGCTTGTATTGTTGCATTGCGGGCTCGGCCTCGTGTAAGCCGCACCGAGTCCCCTGGGGAGATGGTAGCGGGGTATAAATAAAGTTTTATTTATTTATTATTATTATTATTATTATTATTATTATTATTATTATTTTGTTCCACTATATGCTCTTCACAAAAAACAAATGCCTCAAAACTTCCATCTTTGTTATGCATTTCAATTACTAAAACTCAGCTGAAATACTTAATGCAATGTTTCAAAACTTCAATATAATTCTGAAAAATGCAATGTTTTTGAAAAAAGTCAATACATTTGATTGAACAAAATCACTAATCAATATATGGGGATTACAATTAAGCTGTAGAGAGGTATTAAACTGCTCTGCCCAACTAGCTGGCACTGGGACAATCCACACCTGATGAATCGTGTCCTGTGTATTCATAGGTCTTTTCCCATGTACCATTCTCCTCTTTCCAGATAATAACTTTCCGGTCGTAGGAACAGGAAGCCAGGATGTTTCCATACATGGGATGAGCCCAAGCTACCTGCCACACAGGGCCTTCGTGCCTATCAAATAAATAGAAACAACAGAAAAGATAGGTTATAGGTTAGCAACATTTTCCTTCCTTAGTTATTAAACATGGAGAGCATTTTGAAAAAAAATCATGAAAATGTCATATGATCAATACAGAGCACAAAAGTTTATTTATGTATTCTAAAATATCAAAATAAAAGACAGAAACCAATATGATTTCTGTCTTTTATTTTGATATTTTAATAAACTGCTTTGTGACAGAAGGGTATGTATAACAGCCCCTTGAACAGACTAGTGACGACAATTATTTTGAGTTCTCAATCCCCTGATCAAAAAGTTCACAGCATGTGGCAACTATAATGTCATGGGCAAAGCAAAATCTACAGAAAGAGGACTGATGGCAGTAGTAGGGAGCAACTCTGAGAAACCCTTAAGTACCCCCCCCCCCCCGCATAAATAGCAGTTTTCTAATGAAGGATGGTTTTCATTATGTCTTATATCAAGTCTCTGATGCTCTTGCAGTTAAACTGTTCCCTCTCATCATTTTCTTTGCCCCAACCACTGTCTCAATACACTGTATTCAAAAATTGCTCTCTCCTGCTCTGTAAATTGGGAGATTTATAAATTAAGACAGAGCAATTTAAACCGTATTCCAGTCAACCAGAATTTGTATTTTTGATAAATAGTTTTAAAAGAAGAAACTGCCAAGTAAAGATGATAGTATCTCACCCTCTTAAGTCAGCTATGAGAATTTGCCCTCCGTTCCGCACATCAAATATTTTAACTGATCTGTCTGAGGAGCATGTTGCCAACCGGGTGCCATAATAATCCATTTGAGCATCATGCTGGGAAGCAATAAAAAAAGTTTTCATGGTCATCTACCAACTTAGGTTTCATTAAAACAACAGATTTTTTAAAAAACCTTGAACAACTAAAACCAATAAAAGAATGAAAAAATTGATCACAGAGCATTTTGCTTGGGGGGGGGGGGGCACCACTGTTAACATACTATTCCAAAAACACAGGCAAAACATCACTAGAGCCTCAAATCGGGGGGGGGGGGGGAATCTGCTGCATCTTTTATTTTGAACAGGCAAAAGTTACCAGGACCCTTTTTTGTTGACATTAAGTATTTTAGAGTTATCTGGAAAGTCATGTCAGTTCTTTTTTGAAATAATAATAAAAATAAAACTATAAATCACAATATTAAATATTATTTTGGATATATTTTGATGCAATCTGGCAAGGCAGATAGTTAACAAGAAAGAGGACTATACAAGATTGACAAATTACTTCCTACTTTATGAAGAAAATAAGTAGGACATTTCTAAAACATGTATATTTAGAATACAGTGTAAATGCATTAAAGTGTAAGAAGAAACTACATGCAACCTTAAAATGATCCCACAGACTCACTGTTGCTTCCTTTCTCATTTCACCATTGAAAAGAGTACTCAGCAAGTAGTAGTTTTCTTTCAATCTAATTAAAATTGAATTCCTCACACTTTTTTTCAGGAGGAACGGGAGAAAATTTCAAAAGTAGCACATACTTACTATCATATCCTCATGGGAAGTGTCTACTGTGTTAATTACAGACACCTAATGAGCAAAAATACAAAGTCAGAAATGATAAAGATGTGAACGGATTTTTACCCTACATTTCAAAATTGAGCATCAAAATATGTATAATCGCTTGCTTCAAGATTTGAAGCAATCATTAGTGCATACAATGAAAGTGATTTAGATTATCTTGCTCCCTTCTGTACTTCAAATAGTGTCCTCAGCCAACACATGAATCTGTACTAACATAATGATTGTAACTGGTGCAGCGAATTAAAACTTACAGCTCTTTGGCTGCTTGTACTTCCAAAATATATGAGGAAATAAATTTTGCATGAACCTATAAGTGTCACCCATTTTCTCCTTTATACCCAGATGGCCAGGGTTAGATAAGACTTTGATGCAAATATCGGTTTGTGTGTTTGAGTATGCACCTCCAATTCGCCTGTCGACTTTCATAAAGCAAGAAGTACACAGAGATGGTTTATTTTATTTATTTATTTATTGTATTTGTATACCGCCTTTCTCAGCCTATAGGCAACTCAAGGTGGTTAAACTCTGCTATGGCTGACTTCTTTGGTTGAATTTGTCTGCAGTGCCTTTCATGTTACTTGATGGGCCACACAGTTTACAGAAATCCTACACAGCCATAGCAGAGCACTTGATGAACCAACCTGTATACAGCATACTATTTGAGAACACAGAAATGTTGGACCACTATGACAACCACCATGTCAGGCTACACTGAGAAGTCATTGAAATCCACAATGTGGACAATTTCAACAGAAAGGAGGAAACCATGAAAATGAACAAAATCTGGGTACCAGTATTTAAAAAACTCTAAAATCAGGAAAGTAAATAAAGAACAACACTAAAAAAAAAACCCAGAGAATTCCAGACAAGAAACAATCCGGGCCAGTTAACACCTCCCAACAAAGGATGTCCCAGGCAGGAAGCAGCAAGTCTTTGAAGCTGCAAAGCTATTCAATGCTAATCAAGGTGGCCAACTGCAACATTCACACTTGCCTCAAGCAGACAAGAGTACTATACCCATTTCACAGCCAATAAACTGAACTGTCAAGCCAGTACAGAACTAAACAACAACAATCTCACCATACTAGAAGATTTTCCGATCCAGAGTTTATCCTTTTCGCACTAATCCAGTTTTGGCTTTCAAATCAGTGCAAGGTAAGCGCCCTTTAAAACAAACCCAAGCAATTCTGTGAGAAGAGCCTCCAGCAAGGTATAACTCAGGGGAGGGGATTCACCTTTGAACACTAGTAGTATGGAACAAAGTACAGAACTGCCTTTCAGCCTCCAAGTTAGAGAAGGGAAAGACATGTAATCAGGTCTGGGCCAACTTGGGCCCTCCAGGAGTTTTGGACTCCAACTCCCACCATTCCTCACAGCCTCAGGCCTTTCCTTTTCCCCCCTCAGCCGCTGAAGGGGGAAAGGAAGAGGCCTGAGGCTGTGAGGAATGGTGGGAGTTGGAATCCAAAACTCCTGGAGGGCCCAAGTTGGCCCAGGCCTGTTTGACAAGGCCTTCTCCACTGGGCCTCCTCCCTCCTACCCATCCCCGGGCAGCTCCTCACCATGGCGGCGGCGACGGCGGAGGGACCTCCGGCAGGACCGAACCCGGCTGCAGACACGGCTCTCCCGGCAGCACTCAGACGTGGCAAAGCGCCGCCGAGGCGTGGGTCGAACACGGAAGTGTGTCCGGGCGGAAACATCGTCCCCCTGCAGGCGGCACAAAGGTTCCGCCTGCAGCTTGGTTCCTCCTCCTCCTCCTCCTCCTCCTCCCTCCTTCTCCTCCTCCTCCTCCACTGCACGAAGTGGAGGTTCCAGGCCTCGATTCACCGACACTGGAGGATGAATGCAGTTCGACACCACTTAACATGCCTCGTCTCAGTGCTCAGGAATCCAGGGAAATGTAGCACCGGGACTGTAGCGTAGCTGGTTGTGTGTCCGCTGCATTAAGATCACTTCTGAGCAAAAGGTCATGAATGAGTTCAAAGCCAGCCCGGGTCGGAGTGAGCTTCCGACCATTTGTGTAGCTTGTTGTCGACCTTTGCAATCCGAAAGACAGTTGCATCTGTCAAGTAGGAAAATTAGGTACCACCTAGGTGTGGGGAGGCTGATTTAACTAATTTATGAGGCCAGAAAAAAGACTCCAGCAAAAGCATGCGGGGAATGCGGAAGTACTTCATTATTATTTTTTTGTCGTGTCAGGAGTGACTCCTGGTGTGAGAGAATTGGCTGTCTGCAAGGATGTTGCCCAAGAGACGCCTGGATGATTTGATATTTTTATCATCCTTGTGGGAGGTTTCTCTCATGTCCCCGTATGAGGAGCTGGAGCTGATAGAGGGAGCTCATCCACCTCTCCCCGGATTTGAACCTACGACCTGTTGGTCTTCAGTCCTGCTGGCACAGAGGTTTAACCCACTGCGCCACCGGGGGCTCCTTAGTACTTCATTAGTGTCACAGATGGACGATGAAAGCAACAGCTCCCCTGGTGGCCAGAAAAAAGTTAAATAGCCTCTGCCTGTCTGTCTATATCTGTTGTGTGTCTTTGGCATTGAATGTTTGTCCTATATGTGTACATTATAATCCACCCCGAGTCCCCGGCGGGGTGAGAAGGGCAGAATATAAATACTGTAAATAAATAAATAATAAATAAATTTTTACAAGGCCTTTAGCCTTCTCTGTCAAAGAATGTAGTTCCAAATTACAACTTCTATGACTTCCTAGCATTACAATGGTAGGTAAAGGTAAAGGTTTTCCCCTGACATTAAGTCCAGTCGTGTCCCACTCTGGGGTGTGGTGATCATGTCCATTTCTAATCCAAAGAGCCAGCGTTGATCGTAGACACCTCCAAGATCATGTGGCCGGCATGACTGCATGGAGCGCCGTTACCTTCCCGCTGGAGCGGTACCCATTGATCTACTTACATTTGCATGTTTTCAAACTGCTAGGTTGGCGGAAGCTGAGGCTGACAGCGGAAGCTCACGCCGCTCCCCAGATTCGAACCTATGACCTTTCGGTCAACAAGCTCAACAGCTCAGCGCTTTAACCCACTGCGCCACCGGGGGTTCCTTATAACCCAGCATATAAAAACAAATTATAACATAACATCTAAAATTAAAGTACAACACGATCTATCAATTTATGAATTAAATGGAGGACGCGTGGCTCTAGAGCAGTACGTGTGAAAAAGATCTTGGGGTCCTTGTGGCCAACAAGTTAAACATGAGGCAACAATGTGATGCGGCAGCAAAAAAAAGCCAATGGGATTTTGGCCTGCATCAATAGGAGAATACTGTCTAGATCTAGGGAAGTCATGCTGCCCCTCTATTCTGCCTTGGTTAGACCACACCTGGAATATTGTTTCCAATTCTGGGCACCACAATTGAAGAGAGATATTGACAAGCTGGAATGTGTCCAGAGGAGGGTGACTAAAATGACCAAGGATCTGGAGAACAAATCCTATGAGGAGCGGCTTAAAGAGCTGGGCATGTTTAGCCTTCAGAAGAGAAGACTGAGAGGAGACATGATGAGGGCCATGTGTAAATATGCAAGAAGAAGTCTTAGGGAGGATAGAGTTGGCTTGTTTTCTGCTGCCCTGGAGACTATTTATGCTTGTGGGTAAACAGTATTTCTTGTTGTTTCTTTGTCAGTGTTGATGTGGAGATTGTCTAGTTTGCCTACTCTGGAACATGCATCATATAATTTTCCTTCTTTAGGGGTCCCTTTCAAATCTATAATACTATATCTCTCTGTGTGTGAATCATATATATCTATCTATCTCTATGGCTGGATGGCTCTTTGTCAGGAGGATTTTGATAACGTTTTCTTGCCCTGGTGAAGGGAGTTGGACTGGGTGGCCTTAAGTATTTTCTGTTGGTCATGGGGGTTCTGTGTGGGAAGTTTGCTCGAGTTCTGTCATTGACGGGGTTTGGAATGCTCTTTGGTTGTAGATGAACTATAAATCCCAGGAACTGCAACTCCCAAGTGTCAAGGTCTATTTCCCCCAAACTCTATCTGTGTGCATATTTGGGCATATGGGATAATTGTGCCAAGTTTGGTCCAGATCCATCATTGTTTGAGTCCACAGTGCTCTATGAATATAGGTGAACTACAACTCCCAAACGCAAGGTGAATGCCCACCAAACGCTTTTAGTGTTTTCTATTTGTTATGGGAGTCCTGTATGCCACATTTGGTTCAATTCCATCATTGGTAGAGTTCAGAATGCTCTTTGATTGTAGATGAACTATAAATCCAAATAACTACAACTCCCAAATGTCAAGGTCTATTTCCCCCAAACTCCATCTTTGTTCATATTTGGGCGCATGGAATATTCATGCCAAGTTTGGTCCAGATCCATCATTGTTTCAGTCCACAGTTCTCTCTGGATGTAGGGGAACTACAACTCCAAAACTCAAGGTCAATGCCCACCAAACCCTTCTAGGGTTTTCTGTTTGTCGTGGGAGTCCTGTGTGCTGCGTCTGGTTCAATTCCATCATTGGTAGAGTTCAGAATGCTCTTTGATTGTAGGTTAACTATAAATCCCAGCAACGACAATTCCCAAATGACAAAATCAATTTTTTTGAGTGGAGGACATAAATTGGACTGTTAGGTGTCTTGTGTCCAAATTTGGTGTCAATTCCCCCAGTGGTTTTTGAGTTCTGATGGTAGCACGAACTAACGTTACATTTTTATTTATATAGATTTATTATTATTCTACAATATAGATTCACAGCATAGAAGACAAAGGCAAGAGTGTAACGTGTTAGCCAACCCTTGTATTTCTTCCACTGCAGCAATGATCCACTGGGAAAGAGGAGGGAAGATCCTGTTTCTCTTTCCCTCCTCCTCCTCTTTTTTCTGCTGCTGAATGTAACTCGAGAGGCCGCTGCGGATGTCTGCCGCCAGGGGGCGCTGCCCGCTCACCCGCGGTGGCTCAGACCATTGGCTCTGTCTCTCTATATATATCCTATGATGATGATGATAGCAGCAGCAGCAGCAGCAGGGCTCAGCTTTTCCAGCGACTTCTAACCAGGGGAGGGGAGAGAAGAGAGAGAGGGGGGAGGAAAAAAAAAGAGAGAGAGAGAGAGAGAGGAAAAACACCACCCTTGTCTCTCTGTGTGTCCTCTTCTGTCGCCATATTCTCCATGCAGATCTCCCGCAGGCCCAAGGAGGCCCCTTGCCTAGGACAGCAAGAAACTTCTCCTTGAAGCACACACCTATATCTAGTATCTATCTCTCTCCAAGCCAGAAGGGGTCTACCCAGCTGATCCAAGATGACTAACATCTCCTACCACATCTCCAACCTCCTGGAGAAGATGACATCCACAGACAAGGATTTCAGGTAGGATCTGGACTGCTTGGTGGGCTGGGCTACCTTTGAGAGCCCCTTCATGGCCTTTAGCATGCCTTTCTTACCTATGCAAGCCCTTGTTTTTGCTAGCTTGCTTGTGCATTGCACACGTGGGTGAATCCTGCAGGCCTTTTAAGGGGAGGAGGGGGCAGTGGTCTTTAATTAGCAAAGGAACCCAGGGTGCATGCATCTGCACTGTAGAATTAATGCGATCTGATGCTTACTGTATGCTATACATGGGGGAGGGACCATAGGGTTGCATCCACACTGTAAAATTAATGCGATCTGAAGGGGCCTGTGAGGGATGGTGGGAGTTGGAGTCCAAAACACCTGGAAGGCTCAAGTTGGCCCATGCATGAGCTATCTCGACCTACTCATTTACATATGGTGTCTGATTGGCCAGTCTCAGCATTCTAACATTCTTAAGCAGCTAAGGGTGAAAAAGAAGGGGCCTGAGGCTGTGAGGAATGGTGGGAGTTGCAGTCCAAAACACCTGGAAGGCCCAAGTTGGCCCATGCATGAGCTATCTAGACCTACTCATTTGCATATGGTTTCTGATTGGCCAGCCTCAACATTCTAACATTCTTAAGTGGCAGAAGGGGAAAAGAAATGGTCCTGAGGCTGTGAGGAATGGTGGGAGTTAGAACTCTTGTCTGAGGCAAGTGTGAATGTTGCAGTTGGCCACCTTGATTAGGCCCAAAATTGATCAGGAGTCCAAAACACCTGGAAGGCTCAAATTGGCCCATGCATGAGCTGTCTCGACCTACTCATTTGCATATGGTTTCTGATTGGCCAGCCTCAACATTCTAACATTCTTAAGCAGCTAAGGGTGAAAAGGAAGGGGCCTGAGGCTGTCAGGAATGTTGGGAGTTGGAGTCCAAAACACCAGGAGGGCACAAGTTGGCCCATGCCTGCTATATACTATTTATATTTATATACCACCCCTCTCAGCCCGCAGGCGACTCGAGCGGTTCACAAGGCAACAATTCAATGCCCAACAACATCATAAAAACATTTAAAACATTTAAAAATATTAATACATAATATAAACCATAACAAGTTAGGAAAACAAATCATTTTCGTCTCCTAGATAAAAACGCAATCCGATCTCATAATCCAATTGTTCCATAATCCTATGTCTGTTACATTGCCTTTTCAAACGCTTGCTCAAACAGCCAGGTTTTAATATATTTTTTTGGAATGTTAAAAGGGAGGGGGCTGATCTAATGTCCCTAGGAAGGGCGTTCCATAGCTGAGGGGCCACCACTGAGAAGGCCCTGTCTCATCCCCGCCAAATGTATTTGTGATGCAGGCGGGATTGAGAGCAGGGTCTCCTCAGATGGTCTTAACGTCCTAGATGGTTCATAAGGGGAGATGCGTTCGGACAGGGAAGTTGGGCCAGAACCGTTTCCATGGGGGAAGGACTGTGGTGTTGCATCTACACTGTAAAATTAATGCGATCTGAAGGGGCCTGAGGCTGTGAGGAATGGTGGAAGTTATAGCAGGCATGGGCCAACTTGGGCCCATGTGGATCAGGAATATATTGCATGCTTCCAGGGCCAATATACGTCTTGGGCTTTCCTTTTGTGGCCCTGGATATCAAATATTGTGACAGCCTTTTATGTCCCTCCTCCAAGACAGTAGAAATGCATTGCTAGAACAGCTGCAATCAAGGAGATGGGAGAAAAAATATATTTCTTTTGAGGGAGTGTCTTTTGAATCAGCTGCTACTATATGTGAAATGACAGGCTGCTTTTACAGTGTTGCTTCAGAAAAAATAAACACATGTGATCTCTGTTACTAATTCCCAAAGCCAGGGCAATGACGGTCAGCTGGCATCGGGTTATATCTGTTTATTTGAAGTGAGTCCCATTAGAGTTCAGTGGCTCTGTCACAAAGAAGGCACATTTCAACCACACGTTTCAAGTTCTGTCAAATATTGTTGTTCGTGCCGCTGTGAGTTTCCGGGCTGTATGACAATATTCCAGAAGTATTCTCTCCTGACGTTCTACCCACATTTATGGCAGGCATCCTCAGAGGTTGTGAGGTCTATTGGAAACTAGGCAAGTGAGGTTTATATATTTGTGGAATATCCAGGGTGGGAGAAACAACTCTTGTCTGTTTGAGGCAAGTGTGAGTGTTGCAATTGGCCACCTTGATTAGCATTGAATGACCCCAGGCAGGAAGCAACCAGACTTTGAAGCTGCAAGGCCATTCAGTGCTAATCAAGGTGGCCAATTGCAACATTCACACTTGCCTCAGGCAAGAGTTCTATCTCCCACCCTGGACATACTACAGATATATAAACCACACTTGCCTAGTTTCCAACAGACCTCACAACCTCTGAGGATGTCTGCCATAGATGTGGGTGAAACATCAGGAGAGAATGCTTCTGCAACATGGTCATATAGCCTGGAAAACTCACATCAACCTTCAGATTCTGGCCATGAAAGCCTTCGACAACATAATGTAGTTTGTACATATGATGCCTGTTTGAGAGAGTCACTCTCAGGCCAAGGGTGCACCTACACTGGTAGTTAATGTGGTTTGGCACCAGTTTCATTGCCATGGAATTCTGGAAACTGTAGTTTGGTGATGCACCAGAACTATTTTGCAGAGAAGATGTTGTAAAACCATAACTCCCGTGATTCCATAGCATTAAGCCATGCCATTTAAACTAGAGTCAAACTGTTTTAATTCAACTGTAGATGCACCTCAAACCAAAGAGAGGAAGTTCTGCTATTGGATTTATTAAAGTGGATGTGTAGTAGTAATAATAATAATAATAATATTCTTATACCCTGCCACCATCTCCCCGAAGGGACTCAGGCAGCTTACATGTCCGTCCAAAACCCCACAAACAATCCATTAGCAATGCATGATAGGTCAGAAAACAAGTACAGGAGTCACAAGATGGTAATGGGAAGCAAATCCCTTTTATTTCAGTGGAGTGCATGGTCTCCATGAATTAAACTGGCTCAATTTCAATTGCTGTGGTTCTATTTTATCCTCTTTACAGATTGTCTTGCTACAAAATAAATTTCTTGGGCATTGCCACATAGAAATGTAACCATATGTCAACATTGCTGCGCATTATAAGGGGAGCAGGGTGAGCTCTCGCTGTGAGCCCCAGTTTCTCCAACCTAACAGTTTGAAAACATGCAAATGTGAGAAGGTAAGGTAATAGTGCTCCATGCAGTCATGACCTTGGAGGCGTCTACAGACAATGCCAGCTCTTTGGCTTAGTAATGGAGATGAGCACCAACCCCCAGAGTCGAACACGACTAGACTTAATGTCAAGGGAAAACCTTTACCTTTATAAGGGCAAATCCTATGCACTGATATGCTACTAATAATCCCATAGGTGTGAGTAGGTAGTGGGACTCTGTGATAGCCTAATACTCATTCTGTTTTGCCCAATTCCTTTTTTAAAAAACATATGTCCATCAGACACCAGATAAGTGAGGTTATAACTGTTCTGTTGGACTTAGTGGGTTTCAGTCAAGATGCCTATGATTGCTTTGTAAACTTATTAAACACCCTGTGAATGTCATTGAATAGCTTTTAACGTTTATGGTATAGTTTACCAGTTATAAGGTGTAACAGTTCACTGAATATCACAAGGACAGCAGATTCTGTCTGATTTTGATGTCAAGCAGAGTCAGCCCTTGTGTAAGGAGCCCCCGGTAGTGCAGTGGGTTAAACCCCTGTGCCGGCCGGTCTGAAGACCAGCAGGTCACAGGTTTGAATCCGGGAGAGCGCGGATGAGCTTCCCTCTATCAGCTCCAGCTCCTCATGCGGGGATATGAGAGAAGTCTCCCACAAGGATGATAAAACAAAATCTGGGCATCCCCTGGGCAACATCCTTGCAGACGGCCAATTCTCTCACACCAGAAGTGACTTGCAGTTTCTCAAGTCACTCCTGACACGACAAAAAAAAAAAAAGCCCTTATGTAGTACTTGATTGGGAGACCATCAATGAATACCAGGTGCCATAGACTGCATTACATAGGAAGGAGCTTGCAGATCACCTCTTAACTCTCGACTCTTCCTTGCTTAAGATAATCTTATGAACATCCAGGGGGTCGCTGTAGGTTGACATGATTTCAAGGCGCATACACACAGAAGTGAATTCTTTAATTTTTTAACCTTATCTATTTACTTCCAGGAATCATTTCTCATAGCTCAGAGTCTTAATATCATGGCTGGAGGTGGGGCAGACTGACTCGGGATCCACAGTTCAGAGGCCACTACTCCAATATGTCTAACTTTCCTTAGGATCAGCACCTAGGAGCCCCCGGTGGTGCAGTGGGTTAAACCCCTGTGCTGGCAGGACTGATGACTGATAGGTCGCAGGTTCAAATCCGGTAGAGTGCAGATGAGCTCCCTCTATCAGCTCCAGCTCCTCATGCGGGGACATGAGAGAAGCCTCCCACAAGGATGGTAAAAACATCAATGCAATAGGGTGTCCCCTGGGCAACGTCCTTGCAGATGGCCAATTCTCTCACTCAAGTCGCTTCTGACACGACAAAAAAAAAAAGCACCTTCTGATATCAATGGTAGTGGCTTTCAGAGTCAATCATGTTTGTTTTCAGAATTCCCTGTAGATAAGTTGAAGTACATTCTTAATTAACATCTTCCTTGATTGAGAACTAAAAGATAGGACAAGCAATGACTCTCAGGGCTCTTCCACACAGCCCTATATCCCAGAATATCAAGGTAGAAAATCCCACAATATCTGCTTTGAACTGGGTTATCTGAGTCCACACTTAGATAATGTGGGATTTTCTGCCTTGATATTCTGGGATATAGGGCTGTGTGGAAGGGCCCTCAGAAGGAGGGAGGTGGCATAGGAGTCCACATGTAACAAAACATGAATCATTTTAAAGTTCTTCTACAAAGTTGGAGAACCTGTGATCCTCCATTTGTTGTTAAACTCCATCAGTACTACCCAGCCCGATCAGTGTGAGACATCATGGAAGTAGTTGGCT